GCAAAATTTATGATGAATTACAAACCACCAAAAAAAAGCCCAACAAATGAAGAAGATTATTCTAGTCTAGCCTCTCCAGTGTCAATGTACCTCATCCTTTTTCAGCATCAAGTTTATTTCATCATGTCATCAGTCTTGGGTATGTATTACTAGTCAATTGACTATGTGCAGATTTCACCCTCTATAAACCTGGTTTAGGAAGTGAGTAGGCATAATGCTTTTTGTGTAGTTAATTCATTTATCTGAATCTTGTATTGGTGATCTGTTTTAATATATCACAGAACTTTACAGAACTTGGTCTATTTCAGTTATAATACGGGTAATTGTTTTGGTGAATGTCTGTTTCACTTGTGGTCCCCCACGAAATGCTCCCTCCTCCACCCAATTCTATATGTTGTGGAGCGGGCCAGCTTCACGTGTTTGCCTAGGGCTCCTCGGCGCCAGCCTTACACCCTGTCTACAGTATGTGTGCGATAGCGCCTCACCATAGGGTGTGCATAAGTAAAACGGTTGCCAGTCTGTGCCAGTAACCGGATGCTGCTTCGCGAGACAACTGAAGCAGCAGACACGTCAAGTCCTTTGCGGGAATTGCGTTTAGTGTACGCAACCCGCAAAGTCGAAATGAAACTTCACTCGACCGTCGGTATTGAACTTACCTTTCCATTCTGCAATTACAGACACACTGAGCTCGAGAAAGAATTCAGCTGATATATGAGAGTGAAGGCGTGAAACTTTTTAGAATGCATCTCATTGTGATGTCACTGAGACTGGCTGTGTGTATTTGACCATTTAGGTGTGCAGAAGACTTATGCCGCATGTCCACCAAAGTGTTTTATCCAACAGAACACCAGGTGCTCTGCAGAAAACACCTACCTGTGATCGCTTGAGAGCATTTCTGCATCGCAGCGTTTTTGTTTGTTTTTTAGTTCCTTGATATGTGCATCTCGGAGACGTCTATTGATGTCTGCATTTACATCTGCAAGACGTCAATAGGATGTTTCCTATCAGATGAATGAATGAATGATGCATTTATATAGCGCTTTATTGTGTATTGTTGTACACCCAAAGCGCTTAACAATCATGTGGGGGGTCTCTTCAGATGTCAAATAGACGTTTAGAAAATGTCTTTTTGATGTTTATGATTTAGAATCTATGTAAAACTGACATCTTAAAGACGTCTATTAGATGTTTGTACACAGCAGATGCTTTCCAGATGAAGCGATCTTTAACAGACATCTTGCAGACGTAGGGCCTACGTGTGTTAGCTATCTGGGTTGAGGCGCTTTGGCTGCTATGATACGGAATATCCGTGGAAGTGTAACTAGTATCTGATTTCGAAGATAGTTTATTTATGAGTATAAACATGTTGACACAATATAAAGTACTTGCTTTGGCCCTTGTTTTAAATGATTTTGTTTTGTTATTGTGCTTCTTGTTGTCGTCTGTCGCTGTTGTACGATGTGGCGGTTGGTCAGTCTGGAATTTGTTCCGCCCATCCTCACTGTGATTGGTTGCTGACTAAAAAAGTGACAGTGATGAGCGAAAAAAAAACGCCAAACGCTCAGCGCAAAAAGATGCTCAGCTCTCGGCAGCTCCTGGTATTTAAAAAAAAACGCGGCGCTCCCATTGAAAACAATTGAAAAAAACACTATAGCCTGGGAAAAAATATGTTTGTCGATGTTCCACTTGGAGTGCGCACACAGAAAGAATCCTGTCAGTAGCGGATTCAGTTCTCTTTCTTGGCTTATTGCTCTTTTAATATTTATTTTTAATATCAAGCACATCTCTTTACTTTCTCATTCATCCATGTTTCTTTATTAATCATTTCAAACTTTTCCGCCCACCGAAAGCTGCACTGAGTATCATACATAAATACGAAACATTTATAGAACATAAAAGGTCTGTGCGGCAAAAGTGGAAGTACGAAATGTTCCCATTGAACACTGAAAACTCCCATTGAAAACAATTAAAAAAATAGCAATAGTTGCAAATAGCACTGAACAAGCAAACGAGTTGCAATTGGCTTTTTTTTCTGCAGAAAGCTGAACCCTAGTGATGTGTCTAATTTTTTCATAGATAATTTCTTGGTAAAGAGTGGAAGACCTGGGGTACATGATTTCTGTTAAAGAGACAGGTTTGGCTCCCGAGCCAGGTTCCTGTCCTCTGAGCTAAAGAGTACAAGACACACTATTAAATCCGATTCCAGTGACATATGATGGTGAACATACAGGTGCATCTCAATAAATTAGAATGTCGTGGAAAAGTTCATTTATTTCAGTAATTCAACTCAAATTGTGAAACTTGTTTATTAAATAAATTCAATGCACACAGACTGAAGTAGTTTAAGTCTTTGGTTCTTTTAATTGTGATGATTTTGGCTCACATTTAACAAAAACCCACCAATTCACTATCTCAACAAATTAGAATATGGTGACATGCCAATCAGCTAATCAACTCAAAAC